ATGAAAATCTCATTTCGATTATTATTACCACGGAAATTGAATTTTATTTTTTTGGTAGGAAAAAATTTAGCTAGGTACCTACATATTAACACGTCATATAGTTCTTCATGTGGTTAAATTCAAGTTAGAAGTTTCAAATTTGTGATAACGATTTATTACGAATGGGTAATTAATTAACTAAACTATTTATCAGTGTGTGATCTCAATAAATATTTATATGATTTTAAAGTATTTTAATTTGTATTTATTGATTTATTTTAACATTATCTGTTATCATGCCGGAAACTAGTATAATTTTGTTTTTATTGGATAATATTATGTTATTACTTTAAGCAAATGTGAAAATTAAATTATATTAAATTAAATTAATACATTACAATGGTTACTATGAATATTATAGGTATAGTAGGTACGTAAGAAGGTTTTTATTTTTTTTAAATATTGTTTTTGTTGATTTAAAAATTGACGTGGCAATTACTATTTAAAATGGACCATGTTTCGTCGATGTGCAGCAGATAGTAGTTATTGTTGACAATTAGTCATTTTTGTTTAYCTTTGATACTCGTATTTATAGCAACATAATGTAATCAAAACTCGTTTTTCAATATTATACTAGTCAGCAGTCCTAAAAACTTGATGGAAAAAAAAAAGTGTAAAGTTTCAGCTCCATAATTACTGTTTTTCCTTATTGTGTAATTCAAATTTCAGTAAACATACATCGATTAGGTGAAGGCGTTTAAATAATATACTATCAAACAACATTTAAGWAATACCCTAAAACTCTTAAGACCGTGATTGCACACACATCTGATTTCCAATATGAATGATTACTTTCAGAGGATTTCCTGCTATTGTAAGTTTAATGCGCAATACACTGGCTGGCGAGTCTCGATAACTCAAAACTCGATTTCTCAAAATCCTTAAAAACTCAAATGATTTTCTTATTCCTTGAAACGATTTAAGTTGTGTTTGGGACGTATGATGGCAAAAAAACCTGATTCAAATAAATTTGTTTTTATTCTCCTTAAGATCCGAGTTATCGAGACTCGATTGCGAATAATACAATATTAAATATCGATAAGACGCGCAACCGTGGCCAATATCGATGTTTTTATCGTCTGTTCTCAGTCAAGACTGCGGTGAAAAAAGTTCAGGACCATCCCGCCACAAGATGGTACAAGTTCAAYGGCATTGGTGACTATCCCGCCGAGTACAATCCCAGAGTGCACGGACCCTACGATCCTGCCCGTTTTTATGGCACTCCCCACACGCCGTTTTCGGAACTGAAACTCTGCGAGGTCCCCCAGTGGCTGAAGTGCCGGAACAAATCGCCAAAATCAATGGCTGGGTTGTTTTCCCGCGCATATTGGCGATGGTCACACCGATACGTACAACCGAAACGTACAACAGTCGCTCCGCTGATTCACGGCATCGTTGGTATGATGATAGTGTTYTACGCGATAAACTATGGCAAGATTATCCGTCACCGAAACTACAAATACCATTAAAATCTAATAGACTGCCGAAATCATATTTTATTGTGCGAGTGTTTAAACCGTGCTACAACGCTTACGAAACGWATTATAAATAAAAATTTTGCTGTTTACGACTACATAATATATCGTCCGTGCGCGCGATTGTCGCGAACACCAGAGTTTATATTTTTAGCTCGGTAAACGCGGCGGTTTAAAAAGCATTCTATAAATCACATAAAATGTGTAGGATTTGCAGCAAAAATAATAAATATAGTTTAAATATCGTTACAATTGTTTTGTTTTTTTTTTTGAAATTTTTTGTTTTTATATTTTTCTACAAGCATTTAAAGTTGGAATTTCGGGGAAATTCGTCATAAGATTCCCCATGAGTTTTCAGAATTGCTGTTCAAAAATATTACAAATACATAATTATGCAAATGTTTTGTAAGTATTTTAATAAATTTGCTTATATTCTTTTGTAGTTAAAAATTCATAAGATGTTAATAATTTAAACTGCATAGGTAATAGATTAGTCTCGAAAATTTAACTTAAGGTTCCTCATGTATCA